AAGTTGCTAAGCGGCTCGAGGCCATGGGCGACGAAGTCAAGTTCGTCGGTCTCATCAACATTCCTCCTCATATTGCCCCCCGCATGACCGAGATTGATTGGACGTCTGGCATGCTCCACCTGTCGTCCTTCCTTGGTCTCGTCTCAAAGCATGATGCTGATGATCTAGCTCCTCCCCTGAGACTGCTCACGAGGCAGGAGCAACTCGAGTTTGTGTGGAAGATGTCGCCTCCTGAACGAATCATCGAGCTCCAGCTAACGCTCGAGAAGCTTGATAAGTGGGTGGACCTTGCCGGATCCCTCATCGATTGCGGACTAGATTACAACCCATCAGGCTCAGTTTGTATGTCTGTTCACTTTCTCACTTCAGAAGCGCTTGCTCATATACCAACCCCTCAGCTGCACTCGATGTTTTCTACGCTATTCCCTTTGCCGGAACCAAGATCGACTGGCTCAATAACCAGCTTAAACCATGGTCTGGCTTCAGCCGCGGCGAGGCATCATATTCTGATGTGCCTGGGGAACACCACACACTCATGGACTTGGAGCATGTCCCGCAGTTCCAGAAGATCTTCCGGAGTCGTCTCGAGGCTCGTGGGGTGTAGACGCCCTATTAAACTATACAGTGGGAGTGCATTGGTTTCGTACTTAATTTGTTATACATCTTCACGTGCCGTAGACCAGATGCGTACGTTTGGTGACACCTGAACGTTTGAGGCTGAACGTTGAACATCGAACACCCCGAGTAGTGTCCAACATAGGGCTTCGCCCCAACGGACAATAAACAAGGATTTTTTTTAAATCGAACACCCCCACTAAAATGGTGTACAGGATCTTGCCTGTTGCGCGCCACGTGCTATGAGAGGGGTATTGCTGCTGACGCAGCAGGTCTCCGACTCCCTAAATTTGTTTACTCACTCTTGTAATATTCCCTCGCACTTTTGTGTACGACTTCCAGTTTCGACCCTCGTCTTTTAGGAACCATTCGAACTTCTATCACCTTGTACATCAATATTCCATGGCCTATTGCACTAGTGACTAGTTCCAACCTGTTCAACTGCACCGCCTCCTAATCTAGGTTCAACTCCAGAATCTACCCCCCTTCATGGTCCTGGCATTTGTCAGTGGAACTGCATCGAGACTCAAAGGAAACCATGATGAATTGATAGGATTCGCCGGAAAGTGTATAGCAGACGAGATTAAGGTTAAGGTTAAGGTTGCAAGAGCTGGTAGTGAGAAATCAGACGAGTTTGAATCGGACAAAGATCTGGGACATTTGTTATCCCCGACTCCCACGTTAGTAGAGGAAGGGTACATTAGGTTAATGTTAAGGGTGAGCATGTCAGAATACTACATCATACCCGAATTCAGTATTGTGAGTTTATCTATGACATCCTACAGCTTTCAATTAAACTAAAACATACGTTCAAATTCATATCATGATGCCCGAACCACTTGATTTCCTAACTACTGTTGTCCACTGGCGACCTGCAGCCAAACGATGGCGGAGGTTTCGTGGAATTGAACGCAGTCACCATCGCACTGATGGATGAGTACGCGCTCAGAATAGCACAAGACAAGCATGCGAGCACGAGAAGGAAGTTCCACACGTTGAAGAATGTGTTCTTGAAGTTGGTGAAGACTAGTGGCAAGGTTAGATTTGGCGCGAAGGAACTCTTGGCAGAAGTTGGTACGTACGTGCACGTTTCCAACGCGATAAATCCCTCCATGTATCAACACGGTGGGCATCGGGGTTGTTGACATCAAAATATCCGTCGCCTTTTGTGGCGTCCAGTTGCATGCAGTAACCCAAAATCATAAATGGCGGGAAGGTGTATGTGAACTCTGAAAGGAGGTTAAGTCGTGGTGAGAGCAACTAGAATATGAATACTCACGGAAGATGCAAACAGCAGCAACCAGCGAAGAGAGTAAGCTGAATTGCGGGATGGCAGATCCAATAACGAAGGCAATGGACCAATACACTATGACAGAGAAGGCGAAGTAGTATTTACCCCGAGCAACAGTTAACTGGGGGAAACCAAACATCTCCACTAAAACGTTGTTGTAGATGACTTTGACACCAATGTTGCCGTACAATGCAGCAGCAATGAGACCAGCAGTCAAAGAAATGGCGTTTGTCGCAGTCTGTAGACCATAAGCGGAAATTCCCTGGTTGGCCGGCTGCAACAACATCGTCAATAGGATTCCAAGTCAAGAGAGAAACGACGGACGTTAATAACATATTGGCCTTGGTACGTGTAGACGAAGAGGCCAAAGAACATGTATACGATGAAGATGAAGACCTGGGAATACGCCATAGCCTTCCAGAAATCCATTGGACGCCGCATTTCAGCCATGAACTCGACAAAAATCATACTAAAATGATTTGTTCATTTGCACATGAATGTCTTCATGAGTTATGATGACTTACGCTCCACCGTATGAGAACACAATCTGCATGATACCATTGAGCTGGTCCTGGAAAGGCTGTAGGTTGATTGCCTGAGTCATCACGGGGCCTGCGTATTGTCCAAACGATGTCGCAACATAGTTAGGTGGCGAGTGAGCCACAAAGGCCATTGTCATAATCAATACAATGACGTTCAGCCAGATAGAGACATTGGCGACCTTGCCAAACTTCTGAAGAGTCCGAATTTGACCCAGTATCATTCCAGCCAGGGTCCAGACAACGTTACAGACGCTGAAACATAGCTATAGAGGGCTAAGTTAGATGACAACATGCGCCAAATCATGAGAAGGTACCTTGAACTTTGCCATCTGCGAAAGACCTTGACCATTACCAAGAATAATGATCCCGACATTGATCACGAGCTGCAAACTTTGCAAGATGTTACAGACTGTAGATCTACATGATCACCGATTCTCTGCATTCGTGAGAGTGTTTACGTACCATTCCGGAACCAACGGCCATAGATGCGTTGCCCCAAGTCTCCGAAAGACTTAATGGGATACCTTTCCGAGTCCAGTTTCAAGAACATCCACCATAGGAGGAAGCCACTGTATGCAGCCATAATGCCGAAGACGAAGAAACAGGCTACACCAGGACCATATCCGACTTGTTGGAATGCCCACGGGGTAGAGTAAGGACCCAAAATATCTTGGGAAGGGTGTCATGGAACCCATCAAAATCATCAAATCTGTCAATCAGCTTACCAGTGGTGATAAGATAGAAGACGCTCCCCCACGTGGCCGTCCTAAGGGCCCCAGAAGCTGCACGGTACTCGGCTGCGGTGGATAGAGTGCCCCCCTCCTCTGAGGAAGCAGCTACATTCTTCGCATCGGAGTGGGCTGATACAACGGAACGACCGTCAGATTCCTGGGAACGATTAAATATTCTCGAGATCAGGCCACCCGAGCGGCCACCTTCAGCATCATTCTTAGCAGAGAGGGCCTCCCTGTCACGTTGAATCTTGGCGTAGTGCATGTATGTCTCGATATTGGGTGTAGTATCATCAGGAACATGGTAGTTCTCAGGGACATATGCGTCTTGCTCTTGCTTCTCTGAGTGATAGACCCGAGGGTCCCTGCTGCCTTCGATAGCTGCAGGCTGGAATGCCATTGTGGTGGGAGCAAGGAAATGGGTATTCAGAGTTCGCGGTTTGATACGGTAGGTTTTATTTGCCTAAACTGTGGGTAGTGCTACATGTGCTCGATGACAGTTTGCGGTGCTATTACATACCATTACTTAGATAGTGATGGAAACACGGATATTCTGGGACATATGAGCAGGGACTTGAATCATGGAATCGCATGGTCAGTTCCTGGGACACACCTAGACACACGCGCCTCGCCTCGGAAGCCTGCATAGCCTTGGTCCAATTTACTGCAAGCGGAATGACCTAAACGGCGACGGCACCCACTGTCAGATTGTGTAGCGCCCTGTTAATATTCCAAAGTAGATCAACTCCCAACAGGGTGGGAAACACAAGTGTGGCACTGACTATTTAACATATACGGTTCGAAGACAATGATACAGTAAGAAGATAACACGCACCTTAGTAGATGACTAGGGTGAATGCTTTCCTGACCTCTTGACTCTTAATTTGTTCCGACTCCCGTTGTTCATAGATTGTTGATAGATATAGCTGTTAGAGGTCATTGAGTTGCACCTCAACCTCACATGATCTATACCTAATTAGGTTGTCATATACCCCCGGGTGTGGCAACCTAATTAGGTAGCACTGCACCAAATACGCACACTGCCAGTAAATAGCTGAATAATGTTCAATATCTATACTTCGGCAAAACACAAGCCTGTGAGAGTGTTTGGCAGCTGTTTGGCAGGGCTCGGGCATATGCAACCATTCCCAATTTAGAAGCTTACGTGCTGTCCATACTTTGGGAATGTCTGCATGTCTTGTGCTCGCTGTCATCAACGATGAGAACACTTTCTAGGCTTTAATTACATCTAAAATAGCTAGTTCTTTTTCTAAAAAACATGATAAAATCATTCATTGCTTGTAGATATAAGGGCTATACAAGAAAGCGAGGAACTAAGGTATAGTATATATCTAGAGGATGAAGACAATGTGAGGGTGGAGTGGGGTGTATTAGACTTGTATATGGCAGAGGTATTGGGAGATGGATGTCTCCAGTGCAGCACTAGATGGTGTTGTTGAGTTGGGGCTCATTGTTGCCAGTGTCATTGGCTGGAGCATTCATCCTCTTCTGAGGTCCACACTTGACACCCTTGCCTGATTGTTCCTTCTGGGCCTTCTTTGGCATGTACATAGCATTGCCATTTGCTGTGGTTACAACATTGATGGCTGCGATTGGCACTGTATGCTGGTGAGAGGGTGCCACCTGGGATTGAGTGTCTGGAGTCATGGAGGATGTCGAAGGTGAATCATCATCATTTGAAGGGACAGAAGACTGAGTGCTTGCAGTTGGTATCATGTTCTGGAGCCCTCTGTCCTCTCCCTCATTTTTATTTTCTCCTATGTTCCTGTTGCACAGTGCAGCCTGAAAGTATTCCTCTTCCCACTTCTCAAACTCAGTATCACTTAGCTTGTGAAATCTAGTGGCACCAGAGTCCCATGCAGACTTTAGGACAGATATTTCAGTCCATGAACTGATGTCCCCAGGGCAGCAGAATTTGGCGAGCAGCCAGTTTTCAACAATGATGTGATACTTCGCAGTGATGTGGTGGTTGAAGTTATGATAATACATGCGAGAAACTCTCTTGGGGGCAGCAGCAAGTTCTTCTCAAAGTTGAGACAAATACATCAAGAGAGCAGCAAAAAACACATACAAAGTTTCTTGAAAATTAGCTCCCCAATAGCTTTCTTGAGGTCAAGAGTCTCTTGTAAGTAGGTTTTAGCCACACCTGTGCAGCGTGTATTGCTCGTTAGTTGCACTGCATAGATGAAGCCCATAAGCCTTACCTTGAATGCCAGCAATGGCAAATGCCTCTAGTCTTAAAGCAATGTCCATTGCGCTAACTTTGAAATGTGCATCAAAAAAGTCTGTGGCGTGTGAGGTTTGAAATATGTGTGGTTGGTTGAAGTGGTCAGTAGTAGAGTGTGTTGTGATGAAGATAATCTCAACTCCAGTGTAGGCATTCAGAGTGTGAGCCTGTCAATAGAATTTTGTGCATCAGAGGGGATATATCACTGGATAAGTGACAGAAAAAAAATATGTACCTCATGGTCAATGGCCTCCACTGACCTTTGACAATCATGGAAGGCTTCCAGGGGGACATTTCGAATGGCAAGCTTCTTCATTTCACAGTGATCTTCCAGATCCTTGACAGCAGCTTGAGTGGCATCCTCCTGCTCACTTTTTGACATGGAATTCCACCGCACAGCAATTTCACCAGCACATTGTGCTGCTTTCAAGGGTGCAATGCCAGGTGCTCGTTCTACAGAAGAAACTATGCATCAGTGAGTGGAACTTCCAATGTAGCAGTTGCCCATACCATCATTGATCCATTTGACTTCTTGTCAACAAAATGCATTCCATCGATTGATGCCACAAGATGACTGGGCAATGTGTGAGTGCTGCATTATCTCCTCATAGTAGTACTGGACACTATGCCCACTAAATTGAGCATGCAATTTCTCTGCTTCATGAAAGATGACATTGTGAGCAGCTTGGAGGGTGCTTGAGTATGAAATGTGGTGAGCTTCCCTCTTCTCCTTCAGTACTGCTTTTTCAGCTGCACTGCACTTGTATCAGGGTTTTTCATGGTGACGCCAAGGTACTTGAGGTTTATTGGTTGTAAGTGCCCACATTTTCGGGGCATAACAGCTGACTTTGCTCGAGCTTGTTTGTTTCACCATTATCAAGGGCGATGAGGTTGCTGGTAAGAATGGTTGGCTAGTTTTTTCAACTAGTCTTATGGTTGTTAGTGTCATGCAGCACATGTGACTTTTAGAGACAAACAAACATATGTTGGGAACATGCAAATCATAGGGGAAAAAACAATGTACATGAGTTAGAATTCATTGTCTCCAGTGATGATAAACCACAACCACCATGCCTCTGCAACAGGAAGGCCTCTACCTGACAGATTATCGACAAACTGTTGCCCAGACATACTAATATCCAGGGCATGCTGAATGCAGAGGAGGGCATGAGAAGAATAACCATGGGCCTCAAGATAGCTATCAGGTATATCGCCAAAAGATGGGAGGGGTGTATCATTAGCAGGAGGTGGGCTATGGAGTGTTGATTGAATGCTGCTCAATTCCCACATGTACTGGTACACCCACACTGGTGCATTCGAGGTTGTAGTGAGAGATGGGTGATTATCTGCCAGGGTCCTCCAAGCACATGTTCATTGAGGCATGCTGGTATCAAAAGCGAGCGCTGTTTGACTGGCTGATAAGTGGTAGAGTAGAAATCCATGGAAAAACTTATGAGGGGCAGAAGATTCATCCAAGATTGGACTGACAGTTGAAAGAAGGCTCTTTGGAGGGTTGAGGGAGAGATTTGATACTGTAAATGACTGTCAGATAGACATCAAGAGCTGACAAGACATAGTTCATACCCTTGACAACAGGCAACTCTACAACCTTCTCTTTCATGAGATCTATCTTGCCACCAATGGGTTTGCCCTCAATATACTTTCCTTTCATGATCATCCAAATGACAGTGTCCGTGAAAGTTTCAAATTTCTTGAACATTGGATTGTGATATCCAGACACCAGTTGGTGGCAATCTTTCCTAGAAGCAGATGCAATCTATCATTATTTTGATAGATAATTGGACACACCACTTTGTGTAGATACCAATCTCATGTCCCCTCAATACTCCATAGAAGCCCTGAAGTGTGCCATCCCAATGTTCCTTCTGAAGCATGCCTTGTGCAGCATCAGAGTCCATGAATGTGTGTGCGACAACTATAGCATCTTCTGTTGGCACAGAATGTATGAGATTGTGAAGAGAAAACAGTTTTTCTGCTTGAGTGTAAGTCTGACAGTGAATTACTAAGGGAAAGTAGTGAGTGTTGGATCCACTGTAGGCAGTGAAAGGTCTGGAGGAGTTGATCAACATGAATTGATAACTTCATGAAATCACCCACTGTTTGCCAAAGATTCCTGGAGATTTACCCCCAAATACTACCCAGTGCTTGTGAGAACTCATGAAGCTGCAAAAGTAAGAGACTGATGATGTTGAGGAAGGTGGAAGTAGAAATGCAACATTTTTGATGTGATCAGATGATCGGTGATAGTGCTGATTGGCATGACTCATGATGTAGCACCTTACAGTGTTTACTTAGTGATTTGTTTGAAGGGCTCTTCACTCAAAGAAAATAGAAAATTCAAGCAATCATAGTATTTATGTAGGTGGATGTACATGAAAACTACATGTTACACTAGTTCAACGATGAAGTGTTAAGTCAGAGAGATATTCTATCAAGGTACCAATGTCCTGTGTCAATTCCTCGACTTCATCAACAGTGGGTGCAGTAGTGTTGTCATCATACTCAACTTTATTACTGCTAGACAAAGCAATATCCTCTGTAGTATGCCCTCTAGATCCTTTCCTTATACCTGCTGAAATTGAGCCAGAGAATCCTGGAAGTGAGTGGATCTTTGAAATGTGGTGAAGGACTTGCATGTTGATTAGACAGTGGTGTGAACAGTATTCATACACTGTGACATGTTCAACAGCTTGTTCAGCTGCAAGTGAAGCGAGACATTGTGTGAATAGAGTGTCTTCATCTAGGATGGTGGTGTGCAAATGGTGCATCTCCACATTGCATCATTCTATCTCCTCCTTCGCATGTTCAATCTGTAGCCATTGTTGGATCACTGCATGGATAGCAGGTTTGGCCCACATTTTTTCACAAACATCTTGTCATGTATCTTGCAGGAGGTTGAACTCCTCAAGAAAGCTGTAATGGGATACTTTGGATGAATCAAGCTGGGGACGAGGGGGTGATAGTGCTGCAGCAGCTGTATTATACAGTGGCTCAAAAAACTGTCCGCATGTTTTGATATTTTTCACTATCTATGATATTGTGTGAGAACAAACAAATGCCTCAAGGACATGGTTATACCACATTGTAGTATGGCTTCAGGGCTTTCATTTGAGCCCCACACCGTGGGAATCGGTGGAGATATGGTGGAGATACAAGGCTCACAAAATGGTGACTCATGCGGACAGTTTTTTGACTCAAGTATTTTACAATAATAACCAGGTATTCTAGTATTTTGTATGACCTCCCTTGGCTTTAATTACTGCCTCTATCCTTCTAGGCATACTCTCAATTAATTTCTGGCAATCCTCAGCTGTGATCTTCCCCCATTCCACTGCTACTCTCTCCCAAAGCTCCCATACTCCTTTAGGGGGGGTTTCATAGGCTTGAAGCTTTTTCTTGAGTGTTCCCCAGAGATGTTCAATGACATTGACATCAGGAGACTGTGCTGGCCAGTCAAGAACATTGATGTTATGTTCTTCAAACCATTCCTTAGCTCTTCTGGATGTGTGCTTGGGATCATTATCCTGTTGGAAAATGATATCTTCTTCATCAATCCCTGATTCTGCCAAGCTAGGCAGCAAGTGGTCATTTAAAATGACCACATACTGCTCAGCATTCATCTTCCCCTCAACCTCAGTAAGCATTCCCACACCATTCCATCCCATACAGCCCTAGTCCCCAGCAGCAGTCCATTATCATCACCAGTCATCACTCAGCAGTCTTAGTTTACATCTTCACACCATCTATTAGTCTTTTATACATTCACACACTGCGTGCACCTTATTCCCATGCTTCGTGCTCTTATGTGCTTGACATTCCTGTGTGCACACTCCCAGCACACTTCACCAGAGTTGACCTGGTGTCACTTTGTGGATTCTTGTTTTCCTTGCTTCTCTTAAGGGTCAAACACATCACTTGGTGCACTTCAACTAACACCTAGAGAGTCAGTAGGTCTTCCTCTCACCCCAGAGGTAGAGCCATTCTTTCTTTCTTTAGCTCTGCAGCCTGGCAGAGTAGTTGAACCTTTGGTGGATAATATTCATTATTTCTGGTGGCAACTGAAACTGTCATTTTATCACTGCTGAGGATGATGGGCATGAATGTTGAGCCAAGTGTCTCTGGGTCTCCAGTAATGATGTCCTGTAATAGGCAGCATTAGATAGTCTTGAATAAATGTTCAATGTGGAAGATGAAGGGGTAAAAATGGAGAATTCTGGTAGTCTAGCACCATGAAAATATGAGAGGGAAGAGTGGAGAGTTCTGGTAGTCTAGCGCCCTAATAGATGAAGGAACAAGGGGTGAAAAGGGAGAATTTTGATAGTCTAGCACTGTGAAAAGAAGGGGGAGGGAAGAACAGAGTTTTGGTAGTCTAGCACAATCAAAATGAAGCACTTACTGCCTGGTCCCAAGCCCAATCAGCAGATATGAAATCCTGAAACTGATGCTCATCTCCATTGGTAGAATATTTGCAATAGGGCCAATAGTCCATTTCATCAGAGTACATGGGATTTGCTAACATGTTGTGAACAACTTCCTGAGGATCTCAGTACCAAACATCATAACTCCCATCCATCCAGGGTGGGTAGTTTCCATCAGGCTTCTCATCTGAGTATGGGTACAAGAAACCCTGCCACTTCACCCCCCCTGAAGGAATTGAATCAATGGTAGCATAAAGGTTGCAATAATCTGCAAATGGTGGTGAATTGCCATGTTTGAGGAGTGTAGTTGCCAAAAGGTTTAACAGACAATCAGCCTGATTAGCTGGCATCTGGTTTTGAATATAGAGAAACTTGGTCATTTCAAATTCAATTCAGTTTCTGAACAGGGTCCAGTCATTGCATGACCTGGGCTCAGCAGGCAGAGGGGGTGTGCCATCAGGAAGAAAATTTCCATGCTTGTCACATGGGTGACCTTCTTGCTGGTCAGACTACTGGAATGATGAATAGCAAGTCAAACAAACTCACCATCCAAAAGGGCATGGTGATTTTGATTAAGTGAATCTCTGGGCCCAAAAAACTCTGTGTGTACATCAGGTAGAGGGGAGGATCTTGGTTCCTCAGCAGCAGGATCCAAATAGTCTGAGAAATTGGCATCATCGGGAGCATCCTGGAATATACCAGGCTCTACATCTGCCAGACCATTATTGTAGTCCTCTGGAGGTGGGAAAGACATGATGGGATTGGCAGAAAGGATGTGCTTGGTACATCCAGTGGTAGTCTTGAAGTACCACTTGCATCCCGCATGTCCACAAGGGACTTGGAAAGCATTGAACTGTCACTAAGGAATTTGTGTGTGATCATTTTCTGACATGTAGCCCAGGATTACAAGCAGAAAAATGAAGAGAACAAGGGCTAATGACCAGCATGATGCCCTCTGCCACATTGTGGTCTGCGATCAACTTTCACACCTTGAACCTTAGTAATTATGTTGTTGTGCATGGTATGGAGTTCATACCATGACATATATAAGAAGAAGTATAGAAGGAGATGATTAGGAGAGTGTATGAGGATATATTTCTCACTCATGAGCTTAGTCATCTATTTCCCTTTATTTATTTAGTTGTATTTATAGTTTCAGCCACTTGATTACATCAGTGAACCACTCAGATATGTTTGTAAGCATGTCGTGTGACTGGTAATATTCTGATTTGTAAGGATTTTTCCATGACTTATCATGTTTTGTCATGATTTGTCATGCTTTGTAATATTTTGCAGTACTTTGTAATATTTTACTCATGTACTTTAGTAAGCAGCTGATTCAGCACACCAAAAGGCTTGGTTTGTAAGCATATTCTTACCAATCCAGTGATGAGTCATTGCTTAGTAAGGATGGTTTCTAAAATGTATATAAGGACTCCATTCTCACATATTCAACAAGTTTTTCCCTCTTCTTTCTTGTCTCAAACTGTGAGATTTGTAAGATTTGAAGTGCAGGAGTTTTCCCTCTTTCTGTCTCAATAGTGTGAGATTATGAAGAAAGTGAAGGCCTCGAGATTGCCTTTGAAAACTATAGTATTTCTAGTCTAGATTGGTTGTATACTATCTTACAGGGATTGCCTATACAACAGTCTATCATATTCAATTCAGCAGAGGTCCATATTACCTACTAGGCTTAAGTTAACCTGACAAAATATATACTTCCCTTTACTATCAAGAAGTGATCTAGCAAAGAAGTAATTTATTACCCTTTGGCCACCCACAAACAACACATTATCAACTGAGAAGTAGAAAATCCATTGACCATGAACTTGAGGAGCTGGCACCTTAGTCTTATTGAAGTACAATTGTGATAGTCATTGTATTTCACCTCAACTTATATAAGACCCTCAAGTAGTAAGACAACATTAAATTCTTTGTTTGGCACAGTGTCAAACTGACTTACACATTCATTTCCACTGGTGTGGTAAACTTCACTCTTCAACCAACAAATGTCTCTGCTACTCGGAATCACTGTTTCCTTTCATGTCTCAGTCTATGAAGTGTATTACTCACTAAAAATGCCAGCACTCACCCTGGTCAGATAGTGCTTAATGCACAGCCAAAATGCCAGACTAAGGCAGCAAAGGCAGCAGATGACAAGCACTTACAGGAAGCTCAGGAAGCCAAGGAAGCTGAAGCAGTGGCAGGGCTTACCTGACTTGTGGCATTGGAGATGGATATGGAAGAAGCCCAGACCCAGGTGCAGAAGAACAAGCCGAAGGCTGTCAAGCCCTGTCCTCAACCTGTTGGTAAGAAAAAGGGTCAGGGTGTTGTGAGCAAGGAAGGTGGACCTGATATAGACAGTGGTAACACTGGTGCTGCTGGAATTAGCAGCAAAGTGGCAGTCCTTGGAGAGGATGTTGATGAAGACTTCCTGCCTAGAAGACACTTTAGATATTCAGGAAAGGAGGAAAGGACAGAAAACTGCACCACATCAATCACTGAAGGCTGCCATCGATAATGCTTGCAAGAAAATGATGTTGGAATCAGGGATCACTGATGATGATTGATATCAAGCATGTGCACAGACAAACAAGAAAGGCAACTCTTTGCCATGAGTCACACTTTAATCTCAAACCACAATATTGATACTCACTGAATCTACGCTATTCTTTGTCAATTCATGGAAAACAAGAGTGAAGTCAAGTCTGGGTGGCCATATCCAGAACTGGAGGACAACCATTCCACAGAAGCTGGCTAGCTCAACCACTTCTCAGTCTGATTCATTTGCAAGTGCCCAGCCTCCACCTTCCACCATTTTATTGAGGTCTCAAAAATCTGCGTCAAGTGCTGCCACTTCTTTAAATTCTCACCTGAATCAGCCACCTACTAAACTTCCAGCTGTTTGTGAGGATGACTCAGCCCTGGTTGGAGCATTTAGAGATGAGGACCTTGATGACTCACATGAGCATGAGGTTGTGCTAGCTACAAAAGGGAAAGTACCCATGAAGGTGTGTCAGTGGTTGAACACACTTCTTGTACTGATGTCTTCCAAGTCCATTGTTGCACTTACAGAGGAAATGGATCCTGACCTGGTGCCACTACCTCTAGCTCAAAGGCAAGACAGAGCCACCTCTGGGACCAAGAGGAAGACTCTCCATGATGATGTCCTTGAATTCTCTGATTGTAGCAATGACTTGATGTCACCAGTCGATGATATTGAACCACTGGACAGTGACGAGGACTCAGAGATTATGGATGTTGATGAATTCGAGGCAATGGTCATGAAGCAGCCAGTCAAAGCCAAAGTGAAGGTAGAAAAAGCTCCATGCACCACAACTTCAGTATTTCCCCCCTGTCTCATGTTTTCACCACTAATTTTGAGGTAGACATCAGTCGCTACCACATCTAGCAAGGCCCCCCCTTCGAAGAAAGTAAAAGCTGAGAAGGAGCATACAGCAACCATGGTGCTAAAGAGTGACAGCAGCTGGGTGGAATCTGTGTTGAAGGCATGCTCAACATATCTGAACACTGACCTTCCTCCTGGTTGCCAAGAAGACACCAAGTGGGGTCACATTTTTGTACCAACCATTTTTCTCTGGCTGGGTGTTACAGTTACATGTGCCCCTATTCATTTCTCCTATTCATCTCTTTCACCATACTTGTATTATGTCATGACTGCACGATGCTGTGCCATCACTAGACTTGTCTTCTATATCTGTATTACATCATGATCACCTTGGCCGTTGATAGATGACTCATCCCTTATCTATGACTCACCTCTTATCTCTGACTCATCTCTTATCTCTGACTTATTTCTTATCTGTGACTCACTACTGACGTACCTGCCCTAAAGTAGTGACCTCTTGTATATAAGTCAACAATGTACTTAGTAGTTCTTTACTTTAATCTTACTAGGTTTTCACCTGGATAACTCTTTCGCTTAGGACCTCCAATCCTAAGTTGTCTAGAACAGATATTTGAAGTAGAGACACTCTCTTTGCTTCATCTTATGACCCTTACTTTTGTAAGGTCTTGACTCAACTTCAGTCATCACTCTTATCAAGCAACTGTCATTGTGACTATCCTAGTTCATAACACTGGGTGTGCAAGAAGAGCCCTGGATGATCCCTGACAAGAACCTTCTTCATGCATGCCATGACATATTCAAGGTTGTCTATCCAGACATCAAGTACCAGGTTGTGACGTCTGGTTCAGTTTTCAGTGTTGTAAGTCCATGTTTTGTTTTATTGAATAATATGATTAATTTCATGTTTTTAGGTCACCCAATGTGTCAGTGAATGGTGCAGCAATTTCAGATCTACTGTGTTTGCCATTGTCATTGCTTTTTGCACCTTAAATAGAGACACCTCAGCAAAGGAGCTCTCAACCCTCTTCCTTCAACAATATGCATTCCTGTACCCAAATCCTGATGAAATCAATAAAGATAAAACCTTCTGTTCCACCTTCATTCTGGAGCTTCTCACTACTGCCCATCTCTATTGCACTCTTGGGCATGCTGATGTTCCTGCTCTCGATACTGATAATCTAGCTCAGGGTGGCTTTGTTGGAGCTCTTGGATTATGTGCTGTCTTGGTGCATCAATTTCTCATGCCTGTTTTGACCAGGATGGGCTGATATTTTTTTTCCAGCTTGAACATGCATTTGCTCTGCTCAGTGACAATGCTGTCAGCATTGAAAATTTTGAGGGTGTGGACATGCCAACCACAGCACAGAAGACTTGTTTCAAGACCCAAAAGACACTCAACAAGGCTACTGGCAAGGAGATGGGAACTGAGCATGCATTCTCAGTTGTTACAGTGGCTCAAAAAACTGTCCACATGTTTTGACATTTTTCACTATCTATGATATTGTGTGAGAATGAACAAATGCCTCAAGGATGTGCTTATACCACATTGTAGTATGGCTTCAGGGCTTTCATTTGAGCCCTACACCGTGGGAATCAGTGGAGATATGGTGGAGACATAAGGCTTATAAAATGATGACTCATGTGGACAGTTTTTTGAGTGTATATTAAAACTATATAAATCATTATTTATGACACCACAAAAATCATGCCACTATTATATAAATTATGAAGTGGTGTCATTATGTTATTTTATGACTATATCTAACTATATAAACCAGAATATCTCATGTATCATAGTCATAATCACCATGAAAGCCATCTCCTCTGCTCAAAGAGATAATATCCTCTCTCTGTCTTATGCTGGCCTCTCTGCTCACCAAATTTCCTCTAGAACTGGAGTATGCAAGTCCACTGTGGCCAAGTTTATCAAAGAAAGCCACCCAGACAAGGAAAACTCTTGTGGAGGACATCCATCCAAGCTTACCTCTACTGGCAAAAGGGCTATTATCCAACATATCACTACAGGAAAGGCTGATAATGCTGTCCAAGCCACCCATTATATCAATTCCACCATCACTACCCCTGTCTCTTCACAAACTGTGAGGAATGTTCTCAAGGCAGCTCATCTCAAGGCAGTAACAAAGAAGAAAAAGCCTCTTCTCTCCATCAAACATAGGCAGAGAAGACTAGCCTTTGCCTTAGCTCATCAACACTGGACTGTAGAGGACTGGAAGCATGTTATATGGTCAGATGAGACCAAAATCAATAGGATTGGGTCAGATGGGAAGGTATATGTATGGGAAAAGAAGGGAGATGGCCTAACAGACAGAGAGGTTAATGGGACTATCAAGTTTGGAGGAGGTTCTTTAATGGTACTATGATGCTAACTCATGATGGATTCTAACTGCTAGATGCTAAGTGACATGATGGTGGTAGCTGTATAAAACTTCCTTAGGCAACAGGTAAGCTGTGCCTAGGCACACTCCCAGGGCTCGGAAGCGAATAGGGAGCACTCTATGTATGTAAGTGAGATAAGGACAGGGTCCATGATGAAATAATGCCATACAAATACTAAATATGGTCTGATAATGAGAATAAATGAGAAAGGACTCACTAGGGAACTGGTTGGATGATGGATGGATGCTCCTGGATGCTGTGCAACATAAGGTGACTGAGTGCAGGAAGAGCGTGGGAAAGTGTTGCATAGTGCAGGAAAGTCATAGAGGGTGAGTCATAATATGGGTGATCTAAGCCTAGAGCAATCTCATTCTCTACACTGCTCTATTTATCCATAGGAAATGTACACAACAATATTCGACACATGCATCAAGATGCAGTAGCTATCATTGGGTTCCTTGCAATGCCCAAAAGTAAGGGTTTTATATCTGATCTATCATGACTTGCTAACACACAGTTCAACTATCTAGCAATGAAGGAGTATGCTGAAGATCCAAAGTTTTGTGCATTCAGATGCCAGTTGTTTCATTCATCACTCTCCCACATACTCGAAACCCTTAGGCCAGCGATGACAAAGCCAGAAGTTGCTAAGTTCAGAGATGGGCATTTTCAGCAGGTGATTTATGGCTTGGGGCCTTACATAGCAGATTATGAGGAGCAAGTACTCCTTGCATATATAGTGAGTCACTGGTGTCCGAGGTAAGATTCCATTTGCATCATTTCCAGGCACTGGGACTAAGTTGATTCTAGATGCTGTGCACATCATAAAAACCTTGATGCAGATGCACTCCTTTGATGCTGTGACCACACTGAAGCCCTCATTGACACTGGCACATATGCACAGCTCTGGTTTGAGTTTGGAATAATCAGCAATCTCATTGTAAGTCTTTCATTTCCACCTGTCAGGTGGGCTTCACTAACTTTCACATACTTAAGCCATTCATGAATGACTTCCCATGAGCTGACATTTACCACCTGATTGCCCCTGATCTTTTGCATCAAGTCATTAAGGGTGCCTTCAAGGACCATCTTGTGGCCTGGGTGGAGTTATATATCATGAAGACACATGGAAAACATGATGGCCTCCGCATCTTAGATGACATTAACCACAGGTGGGTCATTCACATTTTGCTGCTGGTGCTGTGCTGCTGCACTTGAATCATTTGCGCTTATGACAGACACCTTGACTAACTTCCCTCTCACTTAAGAATAGCAGCTATTGCCTCATTTGCAGGCCTGCACTGCTTCCCATAAGGGCAGGGCTTCAAGCAGTGGATGGGGGACGACTTGAAAGCCCTCATGAAGGTAAAAATACTTTTTTTGAATCCATTTCACTGAGACATTGTTTCTACTCAGGTTTACTTGGCTGCAATTGAGGGCCATGTACCACAGGATATTGTTCATGCATTCTGTGCATTTCTAGAATTTTGCTACCTCATATGCCAAAATACCATCACCAAGAGCACTCTGGATGAGATTGAAGATGCCCTCTTCTGTTATCATCACTACCACACAATTTTTACAGAGTCTGGCACAATTCCCACCTTCTTGCTGCCATGCCAACATTCCCTTGTCCACTACACCTATCTTATTCTGTGATTTGGTGCTCCCAATGGACTCTGCTCATCTATCACTGAGAGCAAACATATCAAGGCTGTCAAAGAGCCATGGAGGCACTCAAGCAAATACAAAGCACTCAGTCAGATGTTAGTTACTACCCAGTGTCTCAATAAGCTGGCAGCTGCACATGTTGACTTTGCCAATCACTGGATGTTGGACAATACTTGTCTTGCAGCAGAACTCGAAGCTCTCAGTAAGTTTTAAAATCAATTACTGTTATTGTCTGCACTACTAATTGACAATGACAGGCCTTGCAGATACAGATAGCAACAACAACTCTAATGTCCAAGTCCATCCCTTGCCCAGTAGTGTTGCCAATGAGGTGCAGGTAGCAGTAGACCATGGACTAACCATTTTACAAGCGCACACATGGCTAGCGCAGACAGTTTGTGAGTAGCATTTACACATGTCTATCTTCCTGAGTGTGGTCTACTAAAGCTTTGTGTTATGCAGAAAGAAAACATGCTCACAATGTATTGGCACTAGCCAAAGAATTGGAACTTCCCCATTTTCCTGATTTGATTCACCAGTTTATTTTTGAGCAGATGTGCAGGCCAGACAATGACCAAGATCCAGCAGAAATTCCCCTTGCTGGCTGTCCTAGGTTTGCAGGGAAAATCTCCATCTTTAACTCTGCATCTTCAAGGTTCTATGTACCAAGTGACATTAGTGGAATTGGAGGCATGCATGTTGAACATATCTGTGCATGCCCTTTGTGGCAGAACGAAGCTCCACACAACGACTGCATTTTCATCAACATGGGATCCAGTACAGAAGGCATCTGAGGACTCAAAGTCACAAGGGTCCGCACCTTCTTTTCATTCAAATATAGCAGTGAAAATTTTCCATGCACCATCATGTGCTGGTTGGATGTCATTGGAGACTCGCCTGATGAAGATACTGGGATGTGGATGGTTTGTCCAGTGTACAGTGCTAACCATGCACCTTTACATAGTATTATACATGTGGACATGATCTACCGCGCTGCTCACCTCGTCCCCATCTATGGCAGGCATTTTCTTCCTCCAAACATCAATCTATATGTTTCTTATGATGCTTTTTGGGCTTACTATATTAACAAATTTGTTGACCATCATGCATTTGAAATTGCTTCATAATCTTGTCGAGTTATACCACCTACTGCATGTTAATTACCCTTTGTATGACTTGAATCTAATTTTTTGGCTTTTGCGTCTTTTCCATGTTTTGACACTTTGCATGACATAAGAGACAATTTTATTTTAATGACTTGTGGCATCTTTCAGTCACATTGCAAACTTCATTCAAATTACAACTGTGATTAACTGTAGTTAAGAGGCACAAAGCCAAAAAAGAAATATGTGATTTTGCTGATGTGGGTAATGCTAGAAATTGATAAAGAGTGTGTTTATAAGAGTGGTAGATGTACAGGAGGAAACACCAAGTACTAGAATTATAGAGATTGTATTGGTCAAATTCAAAGTCAAAAAAGTGTCCATATCTTCACACGATAACATCGGATTCCCACGCTATGGGGAACAAAGACAAAGTGAAGAAGCAGAGCATTTTGACACCTCCCTATAGCTTAGTCATATTCCCACACCCTGACTCACAATGAAGCAATTACATGAAAACCCACAAACATTGGGACACTTTTTTGAGCCACTGTATCATAAAGTCACACTCTAGCAATGGTCTATCAACATTTATCTACCATGGGTCACACTTGCAACATCTTACATACCAGCATCAGACTTATAGTTTTCTTGTAGTTTCTTGTCATTCAAGGTCATGTTGTTCCCACTTATGTATCATTTTGACTTGGAATATAACTGTGTTCATGGATTTTTGATCTGATTCTGTCAATAACATCTATGAAAGCCTTTTTCTCACTGATTTCCTGATACCTGGACCTCTAGACCTCCACAGCTAGTGTGCTCCTCCACCTCCATCCTGTCCACTCTGAGCATGTTTCCTCCAGTCAGATATCCAGACCTTTGCTCCACCAGTATCCTGGACCTGTATCAACCTCACATCCATATCCCAGTCTCATCCCCACCAGAATACCAAAACTTCAGACCTCATCTGTAATCACCTCATTTCCATAGATGCCAAAGACATGCCATAAGTGTATAGACATTATTGAGCATCAGTACTTGGCAGACATTGAGAACATCACCAGAGTTCAAAGATGGCTAGGACCAATTTTTTATTGATAAGTAGCTACTATGCACAAACAAGATCAATGCACTCATGACATAGCTGTGCTTGAAGAATGGTTTGATAATTGGGATGCATGCAAAACTTAGCACTGGCAATGGGCATGTAAGTGATACAGTGCCAAGTTTGGAGTGTGGCCTTTAGTGATGCAGAGGTTCGGTTCTGAACCACAGTTTGAACTGAACTTTTCATGAACTGGACTGCGGTCCAGTTCAACATTCAGAGTATAGGCTGAACTGGACCAATGGTCCAGTTCAGTGTTCAGCATTCCTTGAACATGTCCAAACATGTCCAAACCTTTTTGAACACTGATGTCATAACTTAAATAAACCATGTATGCTTCCATTTTAGGCCACTCACACCAATGATACAAGATCACATCATCCATACACACAATACACTGAACACGACATGATTACTCAAACATGATTGTTGATTCATGCAACTTTTTTGCTTGGAATCTGATTTGCTCACTCCCAGATTATCTTGCCATACAAGGTTCTGCCACTCCATCAGAATGGGCCTTTTCAAGTGGCAGCATCACAGATCAGAGTCAACACAACCAGCTCACACCTGATATCTTCGAGGTGCTCCAATTGTTGAAGAGTGCTTATCACAACAGGCATATCCAGGCTGCAGCTGAGGCTGCCACTTGTGTTGAGCCTCTCACTCATGTGACTAAAGATGACCTTTCTGTTGACCTTACTTATCTTTAGTTTTGCTTTGCCTTACTTTCACTCAGTCATGCTTCATAGTAGTGTACCAGTACTCCTTACTACTAGTACAATTACAATTGAGTAAATTTACAATGTGTTTGATGTTCAAATGCTGAACCAGACATGAACTGGATGCTGTGAATATGTTCACAGCATCCGGTTCAGCATTCAGCAAAATGATTGAACCAAATGCAAGGTCCAGTTCAGTGTTCACAAAATTTCTTGTTGAACTGGACCAAACCAGACTTCCACAACACTAGTGGCCTTGGAGCAAACCTCTGAATCAAGCTTACCAATAGTGATGAAGATGAGGTGCATCTCAAGCCCTCCAGTGGTTCTCATCATGGGAGTTTTGTCAGATCCTAAGATGACTGGTACTTGTATATATTCCTCTCAGTGATCCATTAGATTAATGTTGAGGGTGAGCATGCTAGAACTATATCATACCCAGGTTCAGTATTGTGAGTTTATCTATGATATCCTACAGCTTTCAATTAAACAAAAACACACATTCAAACTCATATCATAATGTCTTGACCACCTGATGTCTTAACCACTGTTGTCCAATGGCGACTTGCAGCTAAACGATGTCGCAGAATGCGACGAGTCGAACGAAGACACGATCGAATTGACGGCCGAGTACGCGCTCAGAACAGCGCAAGACAGGCAAGCAAGCGTGAGAAGGAAATTCCACACGTGGAAGAACCCGTTCTTGGTGAAGACTGACGGCAGGGTTAGATTTGGCGCGAGGGAGCTTTGTGCAGAAGTTGGTACGTACATGCACGTTTCCAACGCGATAAATCCCTCCACGTATCAACACGATGGGCGTGGGGGTTGTTGATGTTAAATTGTGCGTCGCCTTTTGTGGCATCCAGTTGCATGCAGTAACCCAAAATCATAAATGGCGGGAAGGTGTATGTGAACTCTGAAAAGAGATTAAGCCGTGAGAAGAGCAACTAGAAAAAATATGAATACTCACGGAAGATGCAAACGGCAGCAACCAGCGCCGAGAGGTCGCTGAATAGCGGGATGGCGGATCCAATAACGAAGGCAATGGACCAATACACTATGACAGATAAGGCGAAGTAGTATTTGCCCCGAGCAACAGTCAACTGGGGGAAACCAAACATCTCCACCAAAACGTTGTTGTAGATGACTTTGACACCGATGTTGCCATACAATGCACCAGCAATGAGACCAGCAGTCAAAGAAATGGCGTTTGTCGCAGTCTGTAGACCATAAGCGGAAATTCCCTGGTTGGCCGGCTGCAACAACATCCTCAATAAAATTCCAAGTCAAGAGAGAAACGACGGACGTTAATAACATATTGGCCTTGGTATGTGTAGACGAAGAGGCCGAAGAACATGTATACGATGAAGATGAAGACCTGGGAAAATGCCATAGCCTTCCAGAAATCCATTGGACGCCGCATTTCAGCCATGAACTCGACAAAAATCATACTAAAATAATTTGTTCATCTGCACATGAATGTCTTCATGAGTTATGATGACTTACGCTCCACCGTATGAGAACACAATCTGCATGATACCATTGAGCTGGTCCTGGAAAGGCTGTAGGTTGATTGCCTGAGTCATCACGGGGCCTGCGTATTGTCCAAACGGTGACGCAGTATAGTTAGGTGGCGAGTGAGCCACAAAGGCCATCGTCATAATCAATACCATGACGTTCAGCCAGATAGAGACATTGGCGACCTTGCCAAACTTCTGAAGAGTCCGAATTTGACCCAGTATCATTCCAGCCAGAGCCCAGACAACGTTACAGATGCTGAAACATAGCTATATAGGGGTAGGTTAGATGTCAACATGCGCCAAATCATGAGAAGGGTACCTTGAACTTTGCCATCTGCGAAAGGCCTTGGCCATTTTGAAGAATAATGATCCCGACATTGAACACGAGCTGCAAACTTTGCAAGATGTCACAGACTGTAGATCTACGTGATCAATCGATGCTCTACATCCATGAGTGTGTTTACGTACGATACTTGAACCAACGGCCATAGATGCGTTGCCCTAAGTCTCCGAAAGACTTGACTGGATACCTTTCCGAGTCCAGTTTCAAGAACATCCACCATAGAAGACAGCCACCGTACGCAGCCAAAATGCCGAAGACGAAGAAACAGGCTACACCAGGACCATATCCGACTTGTTGGAATGTCCACGGGGTAGAGTAAGGACCCAAAATGTCTTTGGAAAGATGTCATAGAACCCATCAAAATCATCAAATCTGTCAATCAGCTTACCAGTGGTAATAAGATAGAACACGCTCCCCCACGTGGCCGTCCTAAGAGCCCCAGAAGCTGCACGGTACTCGCCTGCGGTGACTATAGCGCCGCCCCCCTCCTCTGAGGAAGGAGCTACATTCTTCCTATCAGATGCAACAGAACGCTTGTCAGATTCCTGGGAGCGATTAAATATTCTCGAGATCAGGCCACCCGAGCGGCCACCTTCAGCATCAGTCTTGGCAGAGAGGGCTTCCCTGTCACGCTGAATCTTGGCATAGTACATGTATGTCTCGAGATTGGGCGTAGTGCCATCAGGGACATGGTAGCTCTCGAGAACATACGCATTCTGCTCTTCCTTCTCTGAAGGCTCCTTGCCAGCTGCGATAGCTGCAGACTGGACCGTCATTGTGTAGGAACAAGGAATTCAGACTTCATAGTTTGATGCGGTAGGAGGCTTTATGTAACTGCGGGTACTGCTACATATGTTTGATATCAGCATGCAGCGCCATTAGATCGAGATGGAAGTACAGATATTCTGAGACATATGAGCAGGCACCTGAATCACGAAGTTGCACGGTCAGTTCCTGGGACACACCTAGACGCGCGCGCCTCACCATAGCCTGGAGTCAATACACTGTCAGCGGCATGATCTAAACGCTCCTAAACGGTGATGGCAGTACAATCTTTTCACGTTCTCATCGATGTTCATTGATTCCGAGAATGAATAGCACATGCGCACAATCTCCAAAGTGGGTATGACGTAAGATTTGGGCGCCACCGCAACAGCGTTGAGGGAGATAAGGTCCATATTTGAAGGTGGTGTTTCAGTTAGTGGCCGAAGGCTCTATACTCGGAACATGCAATGTTGAGACCGAGATCATAGTTGAGCCGTTATGCATGTGAATATTAATGACAACTCCTAAGAGCTCGTATACCCTGCTAGGTTCATCAGCTCATCGTTTATAATTATCAGCGGTAACGGGGTGACTTACATACGCGTTATCGGGCCCCGCGCCGCTCGCATGTCCTGCCTGAAATCCCGCTTCCTCCAACAGAACCCCACCACTATTACAGCACCCGAAAAATCCCACGCAGCTCTATACAGGCGCCGCTGTCCAGTCTTGAGAGGGATTGTCTTACACAACAATTACCGCTGTTGTGACAGAGACTGACAGCACTGGGATGTCTGGTGGTGTATTTTTGTGTTTGATGTATGTTGCCAATTCAATCCCGCCGCTCGTCATACACCAGACAAGGGTATTACAGCTGATGCGAGGCCTTCGGATCCCGGGCGCATGATATTCGGTGGCATCCGCAAGATCCTTCTGCCAGGCAATCGTGTTTGAAAGATGAAGGGAAGTTTTTATTTGGGATGTGA